AAAAAAACCTCTTTTGGTTGGTATATATATAAAAATGACATATATATTTACATATATACTGAGAGACCAGAAATGGACGGACATGCCAATTTGTGTGTATACATATGGTAAAGATTGTGTTTTTTTTCTGTATGGCGGGAGGGGGAGGAGTGGCAACAGATGACATACACATTGAATTGATATGGCCATATACATATGAAGATACCTACGTATGTGATAAATATCATCAAGTATATAAACACCAAAGGAGTAAATATGTATTCGAAGTATGTATTTGAAAACAATAAAAAAACAAAAAGCAGAACCCCATACAAATTGAATGTATGTAAATAAGTTAGCAAGCAATCTGGATGACGGTCTATATCTATTTGAGTGACTGACTGACTGGCTGACTGGCTGACTGTCTATCTGTCGTATTGCTGGTGGGTTGTTGGGTCTATCAGTCAGGCCGTCAGTCAATTGCTGGGTCTCTCCTCCTCCCCCTCCTCCATTAGTCAGTTTCTAGGTTTGTCATTGCCGTTTCTGCCGTGTCTGTCTCTGTAGTTCGTACCACAGATGAATGCCATTCGTTGCTGTGTTTACACTAATGTGGACGGACATGGACTCAGTTGAGGACCCAGCGGAGCAAGGGGCCTCTCGCCACATTATATGGCGTTATAATTGTTGGCGATTTTGTTGTTGTTGCTGTTTTTTGTTTCGATACAAATTTTTTTTCTACTCTAACGATTTTAAGTTGATGAATTTTATTCGTAGAGCTTTTGTGCAGCGATTAGCGATTACTGGCCAGCCGCTTACGACGTATCGCCACAGCGAGCTGCGTGTATAGTTCACCAAAAAAAGCAAAAAAAAAAAAACAAAATATGAAGAAAAGCAAACCGGACAACAATGGCGAAAAACAAAACGACAACGAATCTAAATGAGAAATGAATAAATGAAAATAAACAAAAAATCAACTAAATAATTGTAGAAACGAACGGAAAAAAGTAGCGTTTCGAAGAAACACAAACAAAAGCGTATAAAATAGTCTCATAGTTGAACGATTCGATGGTTGGATGGATGGATAGATGGAATAAAGTGGTCAGATGGGATATATGGTTAAAAACAAGTGATGGAGGAGGGGAGATGGCGAGGAGGGGGTTGGTTGGGACTGGTGGATATAGTATATATCAATGCCACGACAGCAACGCACCAAAAAATGATACCGAAAAACAACAACAATAACAAGAACAACACTAAAAACTAAAGTAACACCACAAAGGTATACCTACCGAATGATGGTGGTGGTGATGGTGCTTCTGACGACAACAACGACGATGATGATGACTCTCTCTGTGGCAGCAAAAATGGAAAGATACTTTTTGTAGCCTTGTAGCCGAGAAACAGACAGACACCAGCCAGTCAGTAAGCCAGCCAGCTGCTGCCAAGTGCAAATCTACAAAGTTCCATTATACTACTATTTTCTTGTAACGAGTGTAACTACTTGTCGCAAATACATATTAATATACATATATACATACGTACGTACGTAGGTATATATGTAAGTAGCTATGTACATATTTTTTGGATTTGCAAACGAACGTAATTGCAGACAACGCAATATGCACTCATTCACTGACGGACGTGTTTTTCTACTGGGCTAGTTATCTCTAGGCATATTTTGTTTTTCTTTATTTTTTCTGCTTACGTATAGACCTCAAGAGATACATTGGAAAAAAAATAATAAAAAAGTTGACAGAATTCACTCGCTTGATTTTGCCTAGGAGAGGGGGCGAGGGCGTTGTTCTCTTAAAAATCGATAGGCGAGCTGGGTTCTTTGATTTATGATTAAACTGAGAAGCTAGATCCACCATTTATAATTGTAATCAGATTACTACGATTTTAAGGATACTACTTGTGACAGCAATAAGAAGGCCAGATGGCCTTCTCAGGGAAAACAACAAGGCCTTGGTTAGAGGAGATAAGTAGGTCTTCACAAAAAAGATCAGACGGTATTTTTCAAGAAAAGCAAACGATCTTGTCAAAGAAGGGCAGAAGGTAATTTCAATAAATACCAGAAAGCTTTCTCAAAGAAGACCAGAATGTTTTCTCAAATAAGAACAGATTGATTTTTCGACATAGATCAGAAGGTCTTCTTATATAAGACGAAAGGGCCATTTCAAAGAACACAAGACGATTTCTTAAAAAAGGCCAGAAAATCTTATGAAATATTGCCAGAATGTCTTCTCAAAGGTCTTCTTCTTTTCTTCTCCAGGCCAGAGGGTCTTCTTCTGACGGAAGAGCAGAAGGCATTCTCAAAGAAGAACAGAAGAAATTCTCAAAGAGAATGATGACCTTCTCACAAAAGGCCAGGGAGTCTCCTCAAAGAATAGACCAGAAGGTTTTTCCATAGAAGACCGGAAGGTCTTTCCATAGAAGACCGGAAAGTCCCCCCCATAGAATACCGGAAGCTCTTCTCAAAGAAGTGAAAATAGTATAAAAGACCAAAATATCTTCTTATAGAAGAGCAGAAGGTCCTCACAAAGGAGACCAATTCTTCTCGAAGAGGCCCACCAAAAGGTCTTCCCAAAGAATTCTAGAAGGTCTTCTCAAAAAAGACAGCAAGCTCTTCTTAGAAATGGTGAGCATTTTTTTTTCAAAGAATGCAACAAGTACCTCCAAAAGAGTCCAGAAGGTCTTTTCGAAGGGGACTGGAAAGTATTCTCAAAGGAGGTGAGAAAGTGTCCTCATAGAAGACCAGAGGGTTTTATAAAGTCAAAAAGATCTTCCCACAGAAGACGAGAAGGTCTTCTCAAAGAAGACTAGAATGTCCTCTTAAAGACCGGAAGGTTTTCCTAAAAAAGACCAGAATTATTTTTCATAGAAGACAGGAAAGTGTTCTAATAGAATGCCGGAAGGTTTTCTCAAAGAAGACCGGTAGGTGTTCTAATAGAAGACCTGCTGCTCTCATAGAAGACCAATAGACCAAGAAGATCCGAAGGTTTTCTCATAGAAGACCAGCAATTTTTCTCATAAAGGACCAGAAAGTTTTCACATAGAAGACAGGAAGATCTTCTCATAGAAAACCGGAAGGTCTCCTCATAGAAGACAGGAAGGTCTCCTCATAGAAGGTCCCCTCAAAGAAGGTCCGAAGTTTTTCTCATAAAGAACCAGAAAGTTTTCTCATAGAAGACTGGAAGGTCTTCTTATAGAAGACAGGAAGGTCTTCTCATAGAGGACCAGAGGGTCTTCTCATAGAGGATCAAAAGGTCTTCTCATAGAATACCGAAAGGTCTTCTTATAGAATATCAAAAGGTCTTCTCATAGAATACCGAAAGGTCTTCTTATAGAAGACAGGAAGGTCTTCTTATAGAAGACAGGAAGATCTTTTCATAGATGACCGGTAGGTCTTTTCATAAAAGACCGGAAGGTGTTCTCTTGGAAGACCGGAAGGTGTTCACTTTGACGACCGGTCTTATTATAGAGGACCCGAATGTATTCTCATAGAAGGCAGGAAGGTCTTCTCATAGAAGGCCGAAAGATCCTCTCATGTCTTCTATGTCTATAGAAGACTGGCAGGTTTCCTTATAGAAGACCGAAAGGACTTCTCATAGAGGACCGAAAGGTCTCCTCATAGAAGACCGCAAGGTCTTCGCATAGGAGACTGGAAGGTCTTCTCATAGAAGACCGGAAGATCTTTTCATAGGAGATCGGAAGATCTTTACATAGGAGATCGGAAGGTCTTTTCATAGGAGACCCGAAGGTCTTCTCATGGAAGACTGGAAGGTCTTCTCATGGAAGATGGGAAGGTCTTCTCTTTGAAGGCCGAAAGGACTTCTCATACAAGACCGGAAGGTCTTCTCATAGAAGACTGAAAGTCTGCTCATAGGAAACCGGAAGGTCTTCTCATCAGAGACCGGAAGGTCTTCTCATAGAAGACTGGAAGATCTTCTCATAGGAGTTCAATAGGTCTTCCCAAAGAATATCCGAAGGTTTTTTCATAGAAGACCAGCAGGTTTCATCACAAAGGACCAGAAAGTTTTCTCATAGAAGACTAGAAGGTCTTCTCATAGAAGAGAGGAAGACCGGAGGGTCTTCTCATAGAAGTCCGGAAGGTCTTCACATAGAAGTTCGGCAGGTCTTCATATAGAAGACCCGAAGGTCTTCACATAGTAGACCGGAAGGTCTTCACATAGTTGACCGGAAGAACTTCTCATAGTTTGTCAGATCTTCTAAAGAAGAGCGGAAGGTTTTCTGATAGAAGATCAGGAGATGGATCTTCAATTAGGGCTAGGGATGACGTTGACGAAGGAATCTTCAAGACTCCATCTTAGATTTATAGCATGTTTTAGGTTCTTAGATCGCAGATATTTTTATAAAGAGGTTTCACGATTTCCATTTTAGAATCTTTAATACCTGAAGCAAAGTATTCATGCTATTATATTTATCTTAGTAAGGTATTTAAGATAAATTACTAAAATCGTCCATCCGAATCGTTGTTTTGTTTTCGTTACAATTATGTCGAATTTGGTTCATTTTCTTTCGCTCCACACTCCTTCCTTGGCCTCTTTTGGGACCACCAACGTTTCAGTGTTTTATTAAATCAAATCAAATGAAATAATTAAAAGATCGTTTTCGCTGGTTTTTTCTTCCACAATTGAAAAGCTGATCCCCCGTTCCCCTATACCATCTCATAAAAATCATATAAAAACTTGTGAATATAGAAATGTTAAATTGGCGTGCAGTGGAAGGGGGGGGGGAGATGGATGGTCGGATGGATGTCTGTATACAATTTGTGGGTCATGCTGCAGAGAGCAAAGGGGGAGGGGCAGGGGGCGGCGACGATCGCCTACCTAACGGATCACAATACACAAAGTGTGCACACACACGAAACAAAACTTGATTAGTTGTTGGTGCTGTTGATTTGTTGCTATTATTTTTAGTTGTTGTTATTATTTTTATTATTACTGTTGTTGTTGTTGTTGTGTTATGTTGTTGTTAAATGTTTTTGTTTTTATTTTTAGCAACATCTAAATGAATGACTTTCACCAATTATTGATTCCGTTGAACAGCAACAAAAAAAAGAGGCAACAGCAACAACAACCACAACAAAAACGTTGCAACGTTTGCAAAAACTTATAAAAATAATTTGAAAGAGAAATAGAAACGTATATTTCAATGCTTTTGCAAGTTATTCAAATAATATCAATTAAGAAGAAGGTCTTCTCTCAACGAACCAGAAGCCGTAGCAATTATTATGTGCAAAAAAAAAAACAGAAAAAAATACTTTTTGTTCAATAAATGTTTGAAGGTTATTGTTTTAATATTTTCTGAGTGTATGTGTGAGAGTGTGTAATAGAATTTAATGTATGTCTGTACGTTGTCATAAATTGGGGGCTGGGAAAATAATATGGGAAAATCATTATTCTTAAATAAGAACAAGTTAAATAGTATCAGTCGGTTTTGCTGACAGATATATACCTCCAGCATTGAGTTATGATTGTTGTAATAAATCGCCGACTTGTTTTGCAAGTTATCACAGATGTAAATATTGGAAATTGTGACCCTTTGTGGGTGAGGTACCAGATGGTGTTCCCAGATATATATCATCTTCACAACACATCTTTCATCTTGAAATTTGAAGATAGTTGAACGCATATTTTGCTTTCTTTGAGCGTTTTGTTTTTCAAAATCTTGAACCCTATTTGGGGGAGGTAGGAAAAGAAATTATCCGATCTTTTATACAGATCTTGAGTTGATGGAAATATTGAGATGTAACAAGTCTCGGATGTAAATTTCGAGTTTTATTAGCTGCATGAATTTTCAAAATCTTGAACCCTATTAGAGGGAGGTACCAGAGGGAATGGTGCGATCTCTACCATTTTTATAAATATTGAGATGTATCAAGTCTTAATGGAGTCGGAAGTTATTTTTGCGTTTTATGAGCTTCATGGATACTTAAAAAATGTTAATCCTTTATAGGGGAGGTACCAGAAGGAGTGGACCAATATGTTCCATCTTCACACCAGACCTTGGGTTAATAAAAATATTGTGATGTGTGTAATTTGAAGATAAACAGAAGCTTATTTTCAATTTTATGACCGTTTTGGCCATTTAAAATTTTGACCCTTTGTGGGGGAGGTACAAAAAGGAATAGTCCGATCTCTATCATCTTTATAACAGATCTTGTGTTGATGGAAATATTGAGATGTGTCAAGTCTGAATGGAATCGGATGTTACTTTCGTGTTTTATGAGCTTTATGGGTATTCATAATTTCGACATTTTGTGGGGGAGGCATTTCCACTTCACACCAGACCATGGGTTAATAAAAATTTTTGGGATGTGTGAAATTTGAAGAGAATCGGACTCTTACATCACATTTTATAAGAGTTGTAATTATTCAAAATTTTGACCCGTTGTGGGGGAGGAGTGGACCGATATTGTCCATTTTCGCACTTGATCTAGCACTGACGCAAATATTAGGATTTACAAAGTTGGAACAAAATCGGGTAATCGTCTCTTTTTCTGTGCAAAAAATATATTTTTTGAAAATTTCGACCTTTTGTGGACCTTGTGTTAATAAAAATATTGGAATATGTGAAATTGAAGAGAATCGGACTCTCACATCACATTTTATAAGAGTTGTAATTATTCAAAATTTTGACCCTTTGTGGGGAAGGTACTTGATGAAGTGGACCGACATTGTCCTTTTTCGCACTTGACCTAGCACTGACGCAAATATTAGGATTAACAATGTTGGAACAAAATCGGGTAATCGGCTCTCTTTCTGTGCAAAAAATATATTTTTTAAAAATATTGACCTTTTGTGGGGGAGGTACCAGAAGGAGTGGACCGATGTATTTCCTCTTCACACCAGACCTTGTGTTAATAAAAATATTGGGATATGTGAAATTTGAAGACAATCGGATTCTTACTTCACATTTTATAAGATTTGTAATTATTCAAAATTTTGACCCTTTGTGGGGAAGGTACTTGATGGAGTGGACCGATACTGTTCATTTTCGCACTTGACCTAGCACTGTTGAAAATATTGGGATTTGCAAAGTTGGAGCAAAATCGGATTATTCTTTCTCTTTCTGGGCAGAAAATTATTTTCCTTGAAAATATTGACATTTTTGGGGGAGGTACCAGAATGAGTGAACCGATATTGCCCATCTCCGAACCCAATCTAAGTTTGACAAAAATAATACGATGTAACAAGTTTAGACCAAATCGGGTACTCCCTTCGAGAGTTATCTTGCGCTCCAGCCAGACAGATATACGGACGGACTGACTCGACTCTAAATGTCCTGAAACGGATTTTAACCGTATCAAATCATATATACCCTCTATAGCCATATGGCTGAGGGTATAAAAATCCCAAAAATGAAGAGAATAATTTGAGCAAGAGTAGAATTTGCATCAAGAAAGAATAGAATATACTCGATTTAGAGTGAAGTTTGTTTCCACTCCCAAACGAGCAAAGCTTCCACGCTCTTACTCGAGTGCTATCTAAAAATAGAGTATGCTGGACAGCTCTCGCTCGAAATCGATTGAGTTTCACTCTTTATTCGAATATGATAGAGTCTTTCGGTTGTCTGCCTAAATAAGAGGTGTTCAAGTATTCTCGTCTGGCCTAAATCCTTCATTTCGAACCCGGTCTAAACTCGGCATCATTTTTAGATTTTGCGCAGTGGGTACTTGTATTTTTAATTTTTCTTAGATCGACAGAATATTTATAATTGTTATATTGTGATGTAAAATTCGGACGGTCTGTGTCTTTTTTGTTTCGGTAAATATAATGCTTATCTTCACGAACACCCAGATAAGGACTTATTTTATTTTAGTTTTGAATTATTTCCAATTTTGTAATAATTTTACATCTTCAAATTTGTTCCAAAATTATCTTTTAATTATTGAAAAAAATCCCCTTAATTTTTTAAATTAAATTTTATTTACAAAAAATGATAATAAATGCCCCTTTCATTTCCAAACCTGCACGAGAAAAAAATCTCACTAATTGATCCATTTAACCCTAATGACCAAAATTTGTGGTGTTCAAAGTTAATGGATTAATTTGTTGACTTTAATGATTTTATGTTGTATTTTCGAACAGGCGTGCTGTATGACAAACGATTGACACGAATGGGTTAAATGACAGCTACTCTATTCTCACTGCGTTACTTGGCCGCTACATAAGATCGTCATACGACCGAACAGAAAAAAAACCGGATAATTAACATAAACTTCATCGGTTATCGGGTGTAAGATATATATAACACAAATTACATTTGGGCGTTGTACGACGAATAATTGAATACAAATGACTAAAGTACGGCGGACGGACGGACGACGACAACGACGCGACAAATAAGAAGTCGTCTGTGTTTTTTTGTTTCAATTGATTTTGTTTTCACTTGAAAATGTGTTGAAAATGAAATGATAAAGATCTGACATTTAAATGTGTAAATGTTGTGGGCAAAGGTGGGATGGAGAGAGGGTGATGGGGAGGGAGTAAGCGATGGGATGGGAGCAGTAGAGTGTTGCAAGGGAGTTGTGGAGAAAATGTAAAGTACAAAAATTGGTGTAGGAAGTTACCAGTAGATTAGAAAATGTCTCTCGTTAGATTGGATTTCAACACTCAGAGAATAATTTGAGATTTTAACAACTCAATGTCTTATACATTACTTTATTCATATTTTTTATTAAATTGTATTGGAAGTTAATTTTAATTAAAATATATGCTACTAATGCAAATTAGATGAGATAATTAAATGCGCAATACGCGAGTGACATTATGGCGTAAGATCGCATAAATTTATTTTAATTAGCATTTAATAAATAATAATAAATTCGATTTATTTGAAATCAAATTTGCTACTGCTTGTCTCAATGTCAACCTGGTTTTATTGTCTCTTACTTATGATGCTATGTAAAATATGGTTGGTTTGGAATTCAATAATACTCACGCCATACATTAATACACATTTTGAGTGGTTACTTTGTAATCGATGACAAAATGCTTACCTGTAAATGAGAAGAAAAATTGAGAGTAAGTGATTAATATATTATCATTAAAATTTGGTAAAAATATTTAGTTATGGTGATTTATAAAAAATGATAATTAAGAAAAAATGACGACATTTTTTGCCGTAAAGAAAAGTTGGAAAATCCAAATATAAATTTTAGCTAATAATTTTTATTTAAAAAACTATAATTTAAATAATTTTTTTATCTAAAAAATTAAAAAAATTAATTATGGGGCTAAACCAAAAAGTTGGCCAGTATAGCCCATATTTGAACTTCATCTAAGTTCAGACAGACTCTATCTCAATTCCTTCGGAAGATAGCGTAATTACAAAAGACGGACGGGCAGACCCACGGACAAACGGACGAACATGACTAAATCGTGTATGAATTCTACGCTGATCAAGAATATATATACTTTGATGAGTGAAAATCATTACTTCCATGAGTGACAAATGGAGTGACAAACTTAATATACCCTCCTACACTAATGTTACCGTTTCTGTACAAATTTTCAAAATCTTTTTCCGTACAACTTTTTGTCTACCATAGCCAATCCTATATACAAAAATTAACAGCTGCATCTTTTCGCGATCGCTCAATTCCATCCAAATTTATGTAGTTAGTACATTTTATTACTGTAGGTACGAATTTACAAAACCATATCTTTACATGAACCCTTCCCACTGGCAATGCTTCCAAGGCCAACATTTCAAATTTCCGGCAACAAAGTTTCAAGATTTAACCTCTATCTACGCTTATTGTTCAAATTTCCAAAACCCCTTTGGTTCATCTGTCCTACACGACAGAAAAATCCCCCATTTCAAATTTCAGAATTCCAGCTCTATCCCTTCCATAAATGTTAAATGTAGTAATAGGTACGAAATTTAGTGCATTTTACTACTTTTGGTACACTTATTGTTCAACTTTCCAAAAGCCCTTTGGTCCATCAATCCTTTACGACAGCAAAGTCCCTCATTACAAATTGCGGATCTTCAGCTATATCCCTTTCTCAAAACCCAAATTTAGTAATTGTGGTATTTTTATTAGTGCGTATTTTAAAATCCATCACCATATATCTTTAAAAAACACAAAAAGTAATGCCAATATCAAATTTTTGATTTCCAACTCTACAGCCTGCAACCAACTTCTTCAGACTGCCGTCATTTCTAAGCCACTCTTCCGTCAGCTGTTAAAATTATTCCAGTAACAGCT